CCACAAAAATAACCAGGGATCACAGCATTTCCACAATACCCAGGGATCCCAGCATCCCTGTAGCATTAACCCAGCTGCCTTTCCCAGGCTGTTTTGGAGGGACACAGCCCATTCCATGGCCTTCTCTTGGCCACCCCATCCCTGCCCGTCTCACACTTCCCTTCTCCCATCCTCCTGGGCTGCTCCAGGAGTGGCTGGTCCCCGTGTTTGGCTCTGATGGATGACAGCCCACGAGGCTGGATGGTGTCCCTGGTGTCCCACGCTCATGGCACGGTCTGTTCCATCTCCCCTTATCCAACCAGGGACGTTTCCAGCGTGTCCACCGGTTGGAGACACCAGAAATTAAGCAGAGATTTCGTGAAGCAACAAGAAGCCAGGAGGATTCTGAGATCCAGAACTAGAAGGACCTCAGGGAGAGGCTTCACCTTGGCTTGAGATGGGGCTGTTCCCTGGGTGATCCCTTGGAGAAATCAAGCCTCCCATCCTGCTGTCTCCCTGGGATCACATCCAGCGTGCTCTCCTTTCCACCATCCTCAGTGGGGTTTGCTGGCATGTCCTGTTCCTTGGGATGGGTTAAGGAGCAATCAGGAGCTGGGGTTTGGGTGGGACTCACGGCAGGTGTTGCCTGAACAGGAGCTGCAAGAGGAGACTGAACTGCAGGGGTTTGGAGATATTTCCGTAAGGCCCCTGAAACGCAGCTGGGAAGAGCCCAACTGCTGCTTTTCACCTTGGAATCGCTGCCTGGTGCCTTGTGGTTTTGGTCCAAGAGCAGCTGAAAACCATAAACACCCGGCTCCTGCTCCTGCAGCTCCCGGAGATTTCCGTTCTCCCCCTCTCTGGCTCTTCTGTAAATAAAAATGAGCTTTATTGATTTTATTTCAGTAACGGAGAAATAATTTGCCTTTGGCCCGAGCTCTCAGGATGCGAAACCCCAGCCAGGAGTGCGTTTCTGGGTCTTTTTTTCCTCCTTTTATAGTGCTTCTGATGGGTGTTTATGATGCCAGCGCTGACACATCCTAAACTACAGCGTGGCCATAACCCCCGGAAAAAACTCCCACCGGGATTGAAATAGTGCCTGGCAAATGTTCCCTCCTCGCTGGAGCTTGTGAATCAAAAACCATCAAGGGTTTAAGCCGAGCCCGGTGCCAGGGAGGGAGAACTTATGCCGGAGTCGGTGCATATTTTATCACGGTGCTTATTCACTCGCAGCCCTTCTCCCTCCGAACGCCGGCAGGGTTTTAATTAAACACTCATTGGCCAGGCTGTTATTCCAGCTTGGAAAGCCTCCAAACGGCCGTGTTTTTTTTCCCCAAAACGATCGCAAGGGGACGTGCTCCCATCCCCCCCCCCTTTCTCCCGTCCTCGTCAAGGTTTGTCTTTGCAAACGTCGCTAATTCGGCGCGTCTGGCGGGACGCCGCGATAGCATCTTTTTCATTAGCACTGACCTCCCCGCGCTGCAAGGAGCTGGCTGATGTCCCCGCAGCGCTCCCCCCGCGCACGCTGCCAACAAACGTCCCTCTGGCACCACCAGGGCAGGTCTGGGCCTCGTGCTGATGGAGGGGTGAAGAAAGGAGTGGGAGAGGACGGGAGATCTCTCCTCCTTGTGGCCTCTCCCAGGCGACAGGACACGGGGAAATGGCCCTCAGGTTGTACCGGGGAAGGCTCAGGTTGGATATTAGGAAAGATTTCTCCGCTGGAAGGGTGGTGAGGCACTGGAACAGCCTTCCCAGGGCAGTCTCCGTCCCTGGCAGCGTTCAAAACACACGTGGGCGCTGCACTTTGTGATCTGGTTTGGCGGGCACGGGGTGTTCCCTCGAAGGTTGATGACCTTGGAGATCTTTCCCAGCCTCAAGGACTCTGTGATTCCTTGGCTTTAAACATCTCCTGGAACCTTTCTGACGGCAGCACAGCCCGTGGCAGTGGAGATATTTTGGTAGACAACTCTCCAGAGGGTCTGGGAGAAACAACGACCAGGGGCTGAGCGGTGTCCCCTCCCTCCCAGCACCCAAAGCCGCTGCCACGGCTCTTTCTTTCCCTTCCCGGGCTTTAAATCCCCACCCGGCTCCCCAAGCACTGACACGACTTTGCTCCTGCTTGTCAGAAGCGAGACACTTAATTTGTCAGTTGGCTACGCTTAATATTTCTTTCATGTGTCGCGTCGATTTTAAATGCACAACGTGTCTGGATAAGCTCATTTTTTTTTTTCGCTTTTTGGGTCTTTTTTTTCTCACCCTGCTGTAGCCAAAGCATTGAAGGTAGTTGTGTTTAACTAATAAAAAAAAAAGATTTTAAAATGCTGGTTTTGCACTTCCTTAATTGCCTCCCAATTCCCATTCACAGGGCGAAGGCAAAGAGAGCGATGAGCGAACAGGGAATGTGTCACTCGCCAGGTTTTCATCGTAATCAAAAATGTAAAAATTGAGAATTTGAATCAATGTACATGAAACCATGTAATTGGCTAAATAAACATGGTGGGGGCAGATAATGGGCCTTCCTGATTAGAAGAAAAATAACTGAATTTCGTGCCAAGGTTATATTTGGCTGCCAAGCAGCACAGTTTGGTGGTTGCATCATTTTTCGGGGGGAGATGAACCAAGCAGAGGGGGCTGGAGGGCAGTGATGGGTCCAGGCAGCTCTTTGCTGCAGAACATTCTTGGGACTGTCTTGAGGGAATTATAAGGATGCAGGGTTGGTAGTGGATGGTGGAATTCAGTTTTCCCAGCCTGGGGGTGGGAATGTTGGCTCTTCCTGGTGGTCCTGGATGCAGTGGGGGCCTGGCTTGCAGAGGCTGCTCTTGCAGCAGCGGAAGAGGCTCCCAAGAGCGGGATCTCCCAGGTAAAGCCCCACCCCAGCTGGATCTGTTGGGACCTCTAAGTGTCCATCCTTCCTTGGACAGTCTCGGGGTGGTTTGTAGCTCCATGGGGGGCTGTGGAGTTAATCAGGATGCACCACATGCCTCCCACCCCTTTTCCATGTAAATTATGGCAGCTTTGCCAACCTGACCAATGAAAATAAATAACATCCTGATGTCCAAGCTGCACTGAAACTACTCCACAGACATGTGGGAAGTCTGTGGTTGGAAGCTGCTGCCCATCAGCAGAAACAGAGTTGTGTGTCAGCACAGCTGGGAATCAACATCTGGCATCCAGTGGTGGTGACAGGAGTTGTCTGGTGATGCCACGACTGCCACCACACCTGCCAGCCCTCCGAAGACTCCTCCCCTGCACTGGCATTTGGGAGCAGAAAACAAACCATCCAGGTCTGAGGATCGGTTTGCATTTGTCCTTCCCCCTTTGCATCCCCTCAGCCTCGGCCAAAAGTCGTTTCACAGTAAACCACAAGTCATCCCCCCTCAGCCACAGCACTGCCGCAGGTTTTTTTTGCTCCAGACCTGCTTGTCCTTCCCCTGCAGAACAAGCACGGGATGTCCCCAGGCGTTTTTAATCTCCAAAATGCCTCCCCAGGCGAATCCTGTTAATATTGGAGAGTGCAGGAGCGGGGGGAGAGCTGCCCACCCTGTCGTTGGTATTCATCGCTCACCACCCCAACGGGAACCAGGAAAAGCTGCTGGGTCTGAGCTTCCAGCCCGGCAGCAAAGGAGTTAAAGGGAAGGTGAAACATTAAACAGAGGCACCACGAGAAAGGCAGGATCCTGGGAAAGCTTTTGTGGGGATGAAAAAAAAATAAGCTGTCACCTGGAAGGGCTCCAGCTCCCACCATGCCCGGGAATCCTCTGCTCCCCGGCACCCAACCTGCGGGCATGGGGATGCCAAAATCTGGGATGCTGATGGGGACAAGAGGGTTTTGCAGGTTGCAGAGGGCTGGGCTGTGCCAGGGGAGCAGCTGGCATCCGGGTTTTGCCATGGGAGAAGGAGGACTGCGTTGGAGCCTGTGTGAGAGGTAACAGAAGAACATGGAGTTACATAAGAACAATAAAAATAAGGAGGGGTTTTTTTTGACTCATAAAGTTTATCAGCCCAAGTTGGTAAAATAGAGACACACTGGGATGCAGGAGCCTGCAGTCCTGGCACATCAGTGCTGGGATGGTCCTCCTGGGACTGCAAGAGGTGGCTCCAGGGTGGGAGGAAGAGGCTGGACCGAGGAAGCTTCCAGCACAGGGAGAGGGTGCATCAGCCACCCTCCAGCAGCAGCAGCTCCAGCTAAAGAGCAAACCTCAGGCAGGGTTAATTAATGTGGCCTCACAAGGTTTCCTATCATTGGGTGGGTGCCACTGACCTTCACACAAAGCCCTTGAAGGCAGAAACACGAGGTCTCCAGGCAGTGACCAAGTGAAGTAATAAATACTTTGGGAAGCACTTTCAGAGAACATTAACCTGAGCTGTCCTCAACCACCGCCAGCAGCGCAGCATAAATTACCTGGGGAGGCTGTGGCTGCTCCAGCCCTGCAAGTGCCCAGGACCAGGTTGGACGGGGCCTGGAGCAACCTGGGCTAGTGGAAGGTGTCCCTGCCCATGGCAGAAGGTGGGATAAGATGGGCTTTAAGGTCCCTTCCAACCCAGAGCATCCTGGGATTCTGTGATAAAGGTGATACCATGGGCTGCTCCAGCACCATCCCTTTATGTACAAGCACTTTGCACACCTCCATGACTTCATGATTGTGATGTGCAGCCACTGAGGAGGCAGCTATGGGGCGGTTTTGTCTGTCTGGAGCTGGTTTGGTCCATGTGGGGCTGACAGATGATGGATGATGAGCTGTTTGAGGGGAAGAGAATGCAATTACCCAAAGTAGCTTTTGGCATGACACGGAGACGACAGAGTGAGGTCGGGGAAACCTGGGAAAAGGGTGATGAAGGACCGTCTGCTGACATCCAGGGCCCTGGTTTGCTTTTGGTTGCCTCCTCAGAGATGCTGTTCATGCAGTAATTAGCGATGTAAAACATGCATCGGGCGCTTTGTTCCCATTAGACTTGGCTACGGTTGGAAATGAGGCGCAGCAGTAGCCCGTGGTTAATTTTACCAAATGTTCTCTTTAATTTCATTTAAGACCAGCTGTCTGCAAATCCATAGTGCCTATTTACGTCACGTGCATATAAATATATTGACAGATATAAATATATATACATACAGTTCCATTCTGAGGAGAAGGCAGGAGATGCCAAGGCATTGGTAGGAGCAGAGATAACGAGGCACCCCCGGCTCCCAAGCTCTAACCCCAGGGGATGTGGGAGATCAAACCTGAAGTGCTGGCAGGGCTGACCTTTGGGTGGTACCTCCCTTGAGATCCAACCTCCCTGCCGTGTTCCTCCACCCTAAAATCCACCATGTGCTGCGTGTCCATGTCAATATTAGACACCTGGTGTCTCAGCAGCTACTCAGGGGGCAGTGAACAGCTGGGAGCCCGCGGGATCCGCCGTTTATTTGCATCCAAGCAAACACACCTGTGTTTAAACACCTCTCACCAGCGGGTCCGCCCAGCTCCTGCTTTGCTCTTCCTTGTGTCTTCAGGGCTGGCTTTACCAGCAGTGGCCAAGGGCAGTTTGTTTCCCTGCTTGGTCCCTGGGACTGGGAGGACCCTGTTTGATGGAAGGTCCGAGTGACACGGTGCAAATGGGGGCCAGTGTCTTCTCCTCCCAGCTCTGACTGTCACAGCACATCTGAACCACTGCCAGTTGTCTCATGAGACCAAACCACAGGCGCTCAAACCCGAGTTTGCGCCGTCCCTCCCTCCGGCAGCGCCAGGACAGCCGTGAGGAGGCTGCCGTGGGGCGAGGGGAAGGGCCGCAGCTCCTTGGCCCCGAAGCGCGGCGAGACATGGTCGGCCAAGAAGCGGAGGTGGAAGCGGCGGCCGATGCAGTGCACCAGGCTGCCCAGCACGGCGCACCGCAGGCCGGACGGCTCGGGCAGGGGGCAGGCGGCACACTTGTACCACAGCTTGGCCCTGGCGCCGCAGCGGTGGACGCTGAGGCCGGCGCCGCGGTGCAGGTCGAAGCGGTAGATGAAGCCGTTGGCGCTCACCATCTCGGCCGTCCTGTCCCTGCTGCCGATGGCCGGGCTGGCCCTCCAGCTGTCCAGGCGGGGGTCGTAGCGCAGCAGGACGTAGCGCAGGGTGCCCCCGGTGACGTAGATCTCCCCGTCGCACACCGTGGCCGTGTGGGCCACCGCGAACGTGTCGTGGGGCAGCGGCGCCGCGAAGGCCCAGCGGTCGAGCCGGGGGTCGTAGCGCTCCACCGTGCAGAGGCACTCGCCCCCGATGGCGTACAGGTGGCCGTCCAGGGCGATGAGTTTGCAGTGGGGCCGTGCCTGGTTCAGGGGACAGATCTCCTTCCAGATGTTGGTCAGCGGGTCGTAGCAGAAGACGCGTTTGGAGGGTCTCTGTGTCCGGCCTGTGCCCTCGCAGCCGGACACCACGAAGAGGTAGTTGAACATGCTGCACGTGGCGCAGCCCCGGGACACCACCTCTGGGGGCACAGGGCAGAGCTGGTGCCAGCAGTCCCCTCCATCGTCGTAGTAGCAGAGGCGGCTGGGGTGGAGGTCAGGCTCCTGCACGCTGACATCTGCCACGACCAGGGACACCTTCCCCTTCATCCTCCGCCGCAGGATCAGCTCCCGCTCGCCGGCGTTGAGGCGGCCGTAGATGGAGGGTGTCCTCAGCACCTGCAGGTAGTTGTCACTCATCACCTTGTAGGCAGCCTCCTGCAGGGCTCTGAGCCCCCGCGCCTTGGCTGTGTTGAGCACCTCGTAGCAGTTCCTCAGGTCCAGGTGGGTGTCTGTTGGCAGCTGGGAGGGGTCAGGACTGGCTGCCAGTCCTGACTGGGGGCTTGCAGGTGGTGTTGTTCCAGCTGGAGCTGAGACCCCAAAACCCTCCATAGGCAGCTGGAGGTGGGGGCTGTCTGCGATCCGGAGGATGCTGTTCTTGTGGCCGGGAGATGGAGGCTCAGGAGAGGTCTCTGAGCTCCTGGTGGGCGGTGGAACTGTGGAGGAGGTGGTGGGATCATGTGCTGCCAAAGCTGAGTCCTGTGGCTGGGTTGCAAAGCTCTGCAGCTCTTCACTGACCTGCTCGGAGCTGCGACACTGGGATATTCCCGGAGGGATGTAGGGGAGAGACTTCTTCTTCAGCACCGACTCGGAGATGGACTGCACGTAGTAGTCATAGACTTTGCCTCTGAGCCTGGGGAGCGCCTGGTTGTCCCTGTCCTTCCCCTGTCTCTCGGGGATGTAGTTCTCCTCCACCTGGATCTTTGCAACCGAGGAGAAAGAGTAGGAGGTGTCGGACCCTGCATCGCTCGCTGTCATCAGCAGCCCCAGGTTCGAGGTGACACTGAGGGTCTGGATGGATTCCCTGTTCCTCTTGGACTCCCTGCTCATGCCTCCACCAGCCAAATCCTTCTCCGTGCTTTGGGCATGTCCATCACCTGCCATCTGGGCATTAGAAATCCCCGGGGAAACCCTGGTGCTCAGGGCAAGTGTTTCCTTCTCGGAATGGCTGCTCAGTGTGTCAGCCATGTTCCCAGGGTCACAAGAGCTCAGCTCCCTTCCCAGCTCCCTTCCCACATCACTTCCCAGCTCCCTTCCCACATCACTTCCCAGCTCCCTTCCCACATCACTTCCCAGCTTGCCTCCTGGCTCACTTGCCCACTCAATTACTGACTCATTTCCTAGCTTGCTTCCCAACTTGCTTTCCAGATTACTTCCCAGATCGCTTCCTGGCTCACTTGCCAGTTTATTTCCTGACTCGCTTCCTAGTTTGCTTCCTGACTTAGTTCCCAACTTACTTTCCAGCTCACGTCCCAGCTCACTTCCTGACTCATTTCCTAGCTTGTATACCAGTATGCTTCCTGGATTATTTCCCAGTTTGATTCCCAGCTTGCTTCCTGACTTACTACCCAACTTGCTTACCGGCTCACTTCCCAACTCACTTCCCGACTCGTTTTGCAGCTCATTTCCCAACTTGCTTCCTGGCTCCATACCTGGATCACTTCCCGGCTCAATTCCTGGCTTGCCTTCTGACTTACTTCCCAGCTCCCTTTCCCTCACGGTTGGCCCGAGCTGGGCTCTCCCACGAGTCACCCCCCGTTCAGAAACCACCTCCTCTCCCTCCTCTTTCCCGCTTGTCGCCCTTCCATCCCCCCGGAGGGGCTCGAGCCGCGTCCCAGGGATGCTCCCTGGTGCGTCCCCACCATCCCTCCTCACCTCCTCACCCCACACCCTCCTCCGTCGCAGACCCACCGCCCCATCTCCATCCTCATCCCCATCCTCATCCCCATCCCCATCCCGGGGCGGGTTTTCCCTGTGCTGTCCCTCGTCAGCCAGCGGGGTTTTGCCCCCGGCGAGCGAGCGGGTCCTGTAAAACCTGAACGCCAGAGTGAGGAGGAGCAGAGCGGCGGCGGACAGGACCAGCTTCCCGGCCAGCTGCATGTCGGACTGCCAGGACACGGCTGCCCGCTGGGGCATTTTTCCATACCGGGAATGCGGAGTAGCCGATTAATGATTGCCGGGCGAGGCCGAAGAGTGGAGCCCAAGGTCTGGGGCAAGGTGACTCTGAGCGGGCAAAGCCGCGGGAGGTTTCCGGACGAGCTTTGCGGGGCTGGGCTGGGCTGGGCTGGGCTGGGCTCCAGAGAAAGGTGCAGCCCAGAGCAGGTGTCACAGAGCCGGCTTTATGAGCCTGGGAAACAGAGAGGCTCAGGGAAAAGCAACAGGAGGAAAAATATCCCCTCAGAGCAGCCTGAGGTGCTCCCTCCTCATTCCTGTCTCTGTTTGAAAAGGATCACGTAACGGGAGGGGGAAATTGCTGCGGAGAAAAGTTGTTTTGTTTGAAAATGCTTCTCATCCTCGGTGCAGACACAGGGAGAGGAGGGAGAAGCGGCCGGAGCCGGGAGACCTTTGGTCTGACGCCGAGCAGCTGCTCCGCGGCACAGCCGGGTGACTAATTCGGTGGCCTCGGTTTGCGGCACGAAGTTAACGAAGGGTGACGGGAAACAGCCTGGAAGCTCCTGGGGTCTCTTGGAGGCCAGCTCGGAAGTGGCAGGGCAATTAAGAGCTGGTGGAAAAGGAGCTGCGGGCTTTGGGAGGGGGGAAAAAACCTGGCACTGAGGAGAAAATAAAGGCAGGAGTTCAACTGGTGGCTGCCGGGATCAGCGACCTGCATCCGTGTGCTCGAGGAGAGGGATGAGCTAAGGAAAGTAAACACAAGCATTAGGACCAGGAAGAGAGATAAGGGATGGGAAGGGATGCGTGTAGGATATCCGTGGGGATTGAAGTCGCTGGGGGGAAAGTGAGGCAGGAGGACGCCAGGCTGTGTCACACTTGCTTCTTTCTCCCGCTGGGAAGATGTTGACGATGAGCCTGGTCTGAATTTCAGATTTAGGGGGATTGTTGTCCCCGGAGTCCCCGAGGCAACCAAAACCAATGCTTGGACTGTGGCAGGGGAGAAGAGGAGGGAGCCTGGGGAATGGCATCACTCCCCACCACTCTGGCTGTTCTGCTACTGAGGAGATCCCTGAGTGAGAGGAATTCAAAGGGATAAATTGAATTGCCTTTCCCTGAGGGGAACATCTCACACGCTGAGAGAACCAGAAAGGAACGAGGGAGCAAAGAAACAGCCAAAATGGGGAGCAGGGGGGGAGACAGTGGTGGTGTGGAAGCTCCTGTTTCGAAGCAGGGACTCACTCCCTGTCTGCTCTGTCCCGATCCGGTGGGATTTTCCTGCGAAATGAACCCGGGTGATGTTCCGGTGGGCTGGGTGGGACGTGTCCCAGCTGCACACGTCGTGGGTCCTCACACCACACGCTGGTGATCCTCACCAGCCCCTGCAGAGCCCGGCACTGCCCTCTGTGACGGGGAGGAGCCTCTGAACCCCTCCCCAGGGCACTGGGAGGGTCCTAGCACTGAATGTCACGGGCTGGGTTTAGGACAGGACCCGTGGTGGTGCCAGAGGGGCTGGGTGTGTATCTGACACCAGAGCTGCCAGGGGTGCTCCTCAGGTGCAGGATCACGTGCTAAACAGCAAAATATTTATAGATATATCTAAAGAGGATGGAAAAGAAGCGTTGGTGTGACCTCCCAGAGCTGGTTGGCACTCTGGGACCCCTGTGCACATCCCTGCTGGCGACAGGGAGAGCCCACCAGTGGCTTTTGGGGGAGCGTTTGGGATGTTGTCACCTTGTGTGGGGAAATGCTGCAATGAAGATGTTGATGGGAGGAGGATATTTAGATTAAAAGCTGGACTTTGGAGCAGGGGTGGTGTGATATACCCCTTGGATGCATCTTGAGCTCACACCAGAGACCAAACCAGCACCAGCCAAACCCACCCAGCCACTCTCCTCCATCCCATTTGGCACAGGGCCCAAAAATCTATCACTGAGGGCTTGGTCTGGCCAAAACCCTGGGAAAAGGGGTGTCCCTCCTACCTGTAAACCCAGAAAGTCCTGAAGCTGAGGGTAACAGGAACATGTGTTGAGTCTGGGCACGTGTTTCGGGGCTTGGCTAATTGGCAAAGGGTCTGGCCACCCCTGACCCCCGGTTTCTCCGTCTCTCCTGCCGTAGTTTTTATTCTGCAGGAGGATCTACAAAGATCCCGGCATTTGAGAGTTGGGAAGTATGAATTATGCATGTGCTTGGCAGCCCTGTGAACCCCGGGCCCGGTAATGAGGTGGGGGAGGCAGGGGAAGCACCGAGTGAAGCTCCCGCTGCCTTTCCCCACCCTATGGAGCCAGAGCATCCCTGGTTTTGTGTCCCATGCCCCAACACCCCAAAGAACCCACGGCAAAAATTCAGGACCAACAGATAAATCCCTATTTATCTCTGCCTGTGGGAAGGATGATGGGTGGTGTCGGGGAGCGGGAGAGGCAGCAGTGACGTCTCGGCACTTGTGACTCTAATTGAATGTAATTACCTCTCCCAAATTTTGCTAAAACCTTTTCAAAGTCCCCTGAAATGAGGGAACATCGATAACGCCGCTCCTTGGGGTTTTCAGCTCTCGTCAGCCCTCAGAAAGGCGCTTAATTTTTTACAAGCTAATCATATCTCTTCGGTAGGTTGTCAGCCGCGGATCTGTCATCTCTCATCAATAATGAAACAACCTGAGCAGCTCTTTTCCCCTCCAGCCTCCTGCATTATTCACTGCCAGGGCCTCAAACAATGGGATGTGTGGTCGGGGGGAACGGGGGATTTAACTGTTGTCCTTTGTAATTACCTGGAGGGAGGTGGATGGGGGTGGGGGAAGCAGGGCTGCTGGGTGGTGGGTGCAGGATGAGAAGGGGCAGGAGGTGAAGGCGGGGTCCAGCACGGCGCGGATGGGTTCCTTTGGTGGGGTGGCATCTCTTCGGGCCCCTTGCCTTGGGGGGGATTGGGGAAAGCAGGCAGCACCTCTGCCCGAAACGAGGAGGGGCTCCCAAGCCCCCTGTGCTGCTGCTGAGAAGATCCCAACCTACAGATGGACCCATCCCCGGGGCAGGAGCTGAGCATCCCACATTGGGGGGGATTTGGGATGCGGGACCACTGAGCCCCCCGTTCCTCTGGCAGCTGCTGCAGGGGGAGATCACGTCGCTCCCGAGGTGGCACCGAGCAGAGCCGGACATGGTGGCAGTGCCGCCGCAAAGCTCCTCATTTCCACGGTTCCGGCCTAAACCCGCCACATTTGCATTTAAATGGAGGTTTGGGCGCCTGTAAATCCTCATTGTTTGGAGCGAGAAGGCCTAATGGTTGTTTAATCACGTCGGGATGAGGCCCCTGGAGCATCTCCAATCCAGCAAGCACGGCGAGAAGCATCCTCGGTGTGCTGGGGGGGGCTCTTCTGCCTGCTCCGTACCGGGGCCGTAAACTGAGTCACGGAGAATTCCCCGAAAAATGAAGGTTCCTCTAAAAAAGTGAAGATCTCCCTCTCAGCCAGGGAGAAACGGTGGGAGCAGCTGGAGAAGAAGCAGGTCTGTAGGGGTCTGGATGCTCAGATGCTGTTCCTTCGGGATGAAAGTGGAGCTGCTGGTTCTCCCACATCCCAGCCAGTCCCAATCCATCCCTGTGTCGCTTCCAGTCCAAATTACAAACTGTGGGCTTTTGTGGGCGGGAAGAAGCTCCTGAGCTGCCAAGCGGTTGTTGGGCTCCTTTGGGGCTGGGAAATCGCTCACAGCGAGGTTGGCAACGGAGCAGGGAAGGGATGGAATCTGCTTAATAATAATTAATCATAATAGTAATAATGATGCTTAGCACTCGTCCGGGGCTTTGGAAAGATGAAGCGCCACACGGCTGCTGGATAATCCTCTAGGATTAAGAGTTCCCAGAGGAAAAGGCAGGGGAGCGCCCCGTCCTTGGGATCCTTTCCCCCCCCACATCTGCTCCCCAGGGATCCCGGATGCTCTCCGGGTACCTCGGGGCAGGAAAGCAGGGAAAACCACGGGCACCCTGCAGCGCTGGGCAGCACTGGCGTTTCTGAAACCCACCGGGTTTCTGCCATCCTGCAGCAGGACTGACGCCATGCCGGGATGGGGGGCCGTGGGAATGCTCGGGATCTCCGTTTCCATGGAGACGATTAGCCGAGAGGGCCGGGGAGGGTGGCACGGAGCAGGGGCGGGTGCGGGCTGGTGCCCGACGGGACACGCGCTGCCCGCTCATGTGTGAGCGCTGACATTTTGGGTCGGGAGCTGCCTGTCACTTGTGATTCACCACCAGCCCGGGACAAGTGCTGTGCACGGCCCTGTCTCCCAGCAAAGCCGCTTCCTCCCAGCCCAGGTTCGGATAAGGCCAGTGATCCGCAGCTTTTGGGCTCCCAGCGCTGCCATGTGTGTGGGTTGTCCCCAGCATCCCTTGCACTGGGGACATGTGCAGGTCCTTCCCCTGCAGATCTTGGTGCAGTGGGAATGGTGTAACTGGATTTTTCCAGGGGAAATTTGGTCCTTGAATCAGACATGCCCCATCCCCCTCCAAAGCCTCACAAAGCCTCCGGGTACCCTGAGACAGTGCTGGGAACCCCAACACAAGGCAAAACATTAATTACAACCTTCTACCAGGGGAGGTGTTTCTTTTTCCTTTTAATTAAATTGTCTGAGGAAGCCAAGACACAGAACAGGAAGAGATCGAGACTGTAAATAGTATAGAAAAAAAAAAGAGCAAGAGAACCGATGGACGGAGGTGGAAACGCCGGGTGGAGCCGAACGGAGGAGGAAGAGGAGGAGGAAGAGGCAGGTGAAGCTTCACGTGAGCTCCAGGATCACTGTCAGGGTGAGCGCCAAAACTAACCTGAAGCCGCAGTGGCCGGTAAGTGAACCTGGAGAGGAGGAGAAAGGGACGGGGAGGTCACGGGGCTGCATCTCCTTGCTTGGGTTCAAAGCAGGATGGGGGTCACCACTTTTTTGGAGGGATTCCCCCTTCTAAACTTGCTAGGGGGTGTTGTGTGGAGTGGGAAGCAGGTCAAGGATGTTGTGGAGAGCATTTGCAGGGACCCTTTTGGTGCAGGGACA